AAAATAACTGCTATCATCCCTCTTGGAACATTTATTTTCTCAGTCTAAGCAGACATACTTCATTTATTAAATGTTTGGATACAAGCACTGTGCTCAATCCTGGCTCAAAAACAATACATAAAATAGCCTCCATTTTACCATCCCACCTTCATCACCTTGACATTTTGATACTTGATCACACAGCCAGCTCCTTTACAGTATTTTAAGTGTAAGAACAAACATTTTGGGAAGGTAAGTTTCATGTATGCAAAGAATATCAATTCCTTGAAAACTTGTATTTGCTAGAGATACTCCCAAGTTTAGGTGTGTCTCGCTGTGTAAATCATTCAATACATACTTCGCAGCTAATAAATGATAACATTAGGATAAATTATACTTGTTTAGAAAGCTCCACTTTCAAATGATACACCATAAAGTGAAAGTTCCACAAAGGCAGGGACTTTTCCATTTTCTGAACTGTTAATCCTCATCACCGTTCTGTCACATAGAATCAAATAATATTTATTGAATTAATGGCAATGACTAAAACGTAAATGATTAAATAGTTAAAGCATTCCCTGGTTTTGGCTAAAACTGAATGATTTTTATTGATGTCTTTTGCTTATAAAAGTATTATTGAACCTTTTATATCTTCTGAAAAAAGAAAATACATGCACTCACCAGAGAGAGAGGGAGAGAGTGGGAAAAGGAGAAAGCCCCACCTGGGGGGATGGCTAGGTCACAATCCCCTCTCCTTCGATCTCCTCCAGGGATTTTGGGCAAGCACGCACATGCCTATGCACAGTATCTTTAAAGCCTCTGATGTTTATGATTTCAGCTGCAGAGCTAGCCATGTGGGATCTAGCTGCCTTAGCCACCACATATTCTTAAATAACCAGATAGGAGAGAGGTGGTTACCAATGCTGTATTAATAATTCATAGAGACTTGCTTCAAGAGGAGTTAAGGTAGAACTACACATGATCAGATTAATAGTTTGCTTGAAAATATCACCATTTCCTAACTATGCATAGAAAAGTAAGAAAAACTTTGGAAGAGGGAAGGGATGTAGGAGGTTGAGGTGTGGTACTAAATTACTTGAGCTTGGCACAGATATAATGATCAATAAATGTAATGGTTGATCTCTTTTTTAAAACAGTAGAATTTGAAGATCTATATGTTTGGTGTTGGAAAATTACTTTACTCTTGCTGTGTCTCAATTTCCTCAACAAAAATAATATTACTACTTTAAAGGTTTTTGTGAGAATTAAAGGAAAATGCATAGAAAGTATGTTGCATTTTACCTGACACATAAACTAGCAATACATTAACTATTAGGATGGCAAGTAACATCTAAAAATAATGTTTCAGTTAATGAGTATGTTTCTTTGAAAGAAGTCTAATTTTATGTCTTAGTTTAATAGGCTTGGGTAACTATCTAAATTAAATTAATACTGTATATTTCCTCTACATTAAGTAGGAATAGGACCTGCATTTTTAAATGTCTTTTCATAGCAACCTGTAAGTCTTTATTATCCATGTGCTTAGTTGATTAACGTCCCTCTGCTGTTCTGGTCTGTAAGTGTCATGGAGGCAGAAATGGTTATTTGGCTCACAACTGAATCACCAGTGCCCAGTACTGGACAGCTGGATAAATGCTAGCTGCCTGAATGAAGGCTATCATGATAAATGTCATGCTCATATCCACCATATCAAGTAGTTTTTTATCTGCTTTTCACAGGAGCACTTCTAAAACTGGAGAGGTTAAGTGACCTGGTAAGGATCACTGAGGTAAAAAAGTGGAAGGGCTAGAGTCTAATCTTGGTGTCCTTCCAATAAACCACACTGAATAAATAATGGAAAAGCAGCAAGGACATGACATGAAAAAAAGAAAAAAATACCTCTGCTTTGAAGGCTAGGACATTTATTCACAGAAATGGCTTTTATATAATCCACGTACATGCTCAAAAATAATGACAACTGTCTAGATATATTTTCTTTTCTGGCCTTATACATTTTATTTTGAGAAGACTGTCTAACACAGAGGAAGGGAATCTAAATATTAATTGAAAGCTTCACATTTCTTTGTTCTAACAGTAAGTAGCAATTATCCTTAAATTTCTAAGTCCTTACCAACCACCTATAGCAATATGACAAACTAATAATATTCATTCATCAGGCAACTACGTGTTCTGTGGCATCCACATGACATATGTCATGTTTAGCACTGAGAATACAGTTGAGAGTAAGATAAGCCTCTTCTCCTAGAGATTATGTATAGAGATTAAGTGTTCACTCTAGGAAGTCTGCCCTGTCCCTACTGTGTTTCATGCATTTATTTTATTCTTTTTTTTTTTTTTTTTTAGGTTTTATCATAGAGTGCAAACACTAGCCAAAGAGACAGTGCAAGGGGAAGTGAGAAATCACCCCCCAAGAGGGATGGCCACACCACAATCCCTTCTTCTCCACTCTCTTCCTAGGATCTTGAGTATACACAGACATGTGCCAGGTATGATTTTCAAGCTACCAGGTCTGGGACTCGAACCATAGTTGACATGTGGTAATCCAGAGCCTTAATCACCATGCTACCTACTGGTCCCTATTTTCAACTTTTATGCAGAGAATCTAATCACTCTTTGGAATATTCTCAGACTCAGTGTGGAAGCTATTTCTAGCCACATATTCACTGTAACTGAATTAGATTAAAACAATTTGGAAGTCTCATGCAGTTCAATGTAATAAAATTTTACAAGCAAAATAATTTAATCTCATATCAGTTAAGGAAATGATTTGTGCCCATTCTTCCCCCATGGTACAAATAACTAAGCTGGTATGCTGTCAACACATATTTCGAAAAGGGGGGCTAAAATGATCATTCATTAAAATGATGATGAAAACCATAATCTCAAGGCAAAAAACTATGATGTCTGAATGTTGCCCAGACATCATTAGCATCAATCAAGGTTTGGACATTAGGTAGCCAAGTAAATTTAGGACATGAACTGCATGAATGTGTTATATGAAGTCAAAGAATGCAGTTCATATTAGCCATAATTCAGAATTTGGCTCTTATAACACCTGTTGCTGAGTCATCCAATAGAATATGACTGAAAAGACTATATCCTTACAAGTTTTATTGCAATGACGGCAGAAAAGTCAGTGCCAAAAAACTTATGCATAATATATTAAAATAAAGTGGAAATAAAGGGTAAGTAAGGGACATACTAAAAATTATGTAAAAGAAATATAATACTGAGTACTCTGGATCTTTACAAAAGCTATACAGACAATCGTGACTATATAGTGAGTAAAATAATTTATTTCAATTTTCTTCTTTCTTAGTAACAAGAAGAGAGTTTCAAATTGGTGGTAAGAGGCCTTTAACACCTCCCATTTTCTAACTTCCTCTTTAAGAGAGATTTTTTGGCCTTTGTGAACCAGTAGTTTCTAGCTCAAATAACAAGCTTTATGCTAGTGGTTCTCAAATATTTTGGATTATTTTACATTTTAAAATATTATTCAAAAAGTGTTTGTTTTCATGGTTTATATAACATAATATTTAACATATCATTTAAAGCTGAGAAAACTTTTAAATACTTAATGGTTAATTTAAAATCATAACAATAAATACATTATAGGTTAGCAAATGTTTAGGAAGATATATTGAAAAATGAAAACGAGAATGGAATTTTTTTAGGTTTTTCAAATCCCTTTAAGATCTATTTCTATAGAAAGTAGAAAACTGTAGATTTTTCAGTCTGCTTCTACATGCAATCATTTGCAATGTGTTGTTTGATCAAAGAACACAAAGAAAATCCAGAATCACAAAGACAGGAACTTGTCAATGGGAGTGGCATTTTAACAGCTTTTTCAGATGCTAGTGGTGGTTCTTTTTGATACTACACCAAAACTTGACAACTAGTTTCTTAAAGTTTGGTGGCGGTGTGGAATCTGAATGATATTGATGAAGTTTTTGTACCTGGAAAGCTTATAAAATAATATATTGATAATATATTTTGAAAATAGTTTTGATACTGTGGATCTCCTGAAGAGACTTCTGAGAAACTCCCACCTCTCAGAGTTCCGTGGGCAACATGTCAGGCTTATCCTCTAATACTTTTGTCAGTCTTTTAAGCAAGTGATTTTGGTTCTCTAGTCATAATAACAATGGCTTGTATAAAAGGAAGCTTTCAGTTTAAATAAGCAAGTTAAAAAAGTATATTAAATAGTGGTATGGAGAGTAGGTTATAATGGGACATGTGAAGTAGTTTGGAAAACAATAAACCCGTACAATTCTGTAAAACTATCCTCTACTCTTTTACAGGAGAAAACTGCTAACAAGCATCCCCTCAGATCTTCATTGGCTGGCATCTTCTAACCGCGAGGTCCTGGATCTATAAGCCAAACTCTCCAGGAAGGTGTTCCCCAACTAATTATATTAATGGCCAGTACTAAGAAATACTGACGGTGGGGAAAAACTTTTCTTCTGCTAAAGTTGATAAAAATCCATAAGGCCTTTTTGAGGTACTACTAATCCACTCAAATAAATACTGATTTCCTAATAAGTGGCAGCACTGCACAAAGAACTCTTAGTCATACAAACTTACTAAACAGGAAACCTGCCTTTAAAGAATTTGCATTCTGGTAGGCAAAATTTTGCCAAGTAAGGGAAACAACAATTATAGAATAGGAAGAGAAAAGGATGGCAAGATAGTGTCGCTGAGATGAAAGGAAATGCGGGAAAAGGGTGCCCTTTGAAGCTGAAGCCTTCCTGAAGCAAGATGAGCAGAGCTGGAGGTAGGGTAGTAATTGACAAAGGCAGATGCTTGAACATTTAAATTCCCCCACAGGAAACACAGGCCATAAGACGGACAACCTCACACATTAGCTCTGGCAGGAACCCCTGATGCTGGGCGCGGGCGGAAGCAATGCTGGATCACGAAAATCTGCCTTCCCGGAGGAAGTCACCACCGGTCAGCCCATGGCAGGCCCGCAGGGGAACCCCATCGAGGCTTCGCCTCACCTGACTGTCCTGACCACGAAGTACACCAACACTGCGCCGCTCACCACCATCAACACGGTCAGGGCCCGCTGGGTCATGGGCTTGTCGCCAGGGTTGGGGCTCACGGCAAGGCTGCCACCCACTGAGCTTTCCCCGGCCTTCCCTCCATGTTCGTCCGCTGCAAGCCCCGCCCCGGGGCTGCTGCCATTGCCTCCCTCTGAGCCCCGCGGCCCAGCAGCTTCAGCTGGGGCAACACCGGGCTGCTGGGCAGCGGTGGGGCCGGGCGGAAGCGGCGACAGCGTCCGCTGCCCAGGATCTGGAGGCCCTGGCCCCGGCACGGCCTCGGCCGTCTGCAGCAGCACGGCCCGGGGCCCGCTCAGCGCCGGCAGCAGCAGCAGGAGGAGGGCCTTGGCCAAGAGGCGCCTGGGACAGCAGCAGCAGTGTGGGGCCATCATTGTCCCCAGACCTCTCTCACCACGTGGGAGCCGCCAGGCCCGCCGCCCTGGCTCCCGGA